TTATCTAATAATACGTACGTATGGAATTCATAGACAAATCTACGAATTGCGTAGGTATGAAACAAATAAGCCACAACCACGAGTGCCTATAACGAACGAGACTAGTCCTAAAAACACAGGAGTCTCCTAATAATACTATATTCAAAGATAAGCCTATGTTAAGATATAATTGATCTACCTTACTTATTATTTCTATGTTATACAGTCAAGAAAGGTATGTGCGCATTCTTTTCTTAACCAATATTTACACCACTCTACTCTAAAATAAATGATTACAAGAATCAGAATAGAAATTATTGTTCTATCTTAAAACTAGTAATAAAAATGAGTCACGGTGTATAAAATCTTATTACGATTAACCATTTTTTATGTTCTTCTAAGACGCACACGCTTACCTTAACGGAAAAGGTCAAGTTAATGATATGAAACCTAATTACATTATCAATAGTCCAGAACTAATATAAATATATACCAAATAATGTTATAGACTTAGGTGGTTACAGTTTTAGAAGGCAGTAAAAAAAAGCCAAAGTACTCACCTATTCAGTATGCCTTATTGGTACACTTACACAATCTTGATTTAAGAAAAAAATATTACGTAAGCACTGGCCAGTTCAAATTGTTTTTAGTTCAAATTCTATATTTCTATAGCACAAAATGTCATGTCACTTCAATTATAATACTTATTGTTCATTTAACCAATTCGTAAATGTATTTTTCTGTGTCGAATTATGAAATAAATGGAAATAAAATGGAGGCGAACGCTTTGTCGTATTGGGGTTAGTTAGTCGGTGGTATACTGCGCATGCGTGGAACACCCTCATCCCCAGACACGTTGCGTTCCGAAATATGAGAAGGGGAGATTGTTTGGATAGAATATAACTATTTATTTGAAGGAATAGATTTTTTAGACGCTTTATTACGTGTTCTAAGAGGTCTTGTCTACGTAGTGTACATTAAAACCGACTTCAATAAATGCTAACGCTATAAATTCAAATATCGATTTAGAATATAATCGAAGCTTCGTGGTATCGAATACTTCTGAAATCGAATCTAAGGTAATGTTTAAATATTTAAATAGATACTGTATTTTTCCCAGTAATCCTAAAGAACTGCGTCTAGAGCAAAAAATTTTTTTTTGAAATTATGATCTTCCATTTTAGTATTAATGCAATCTTGGTCATCACACAATAATTTGTCCTAGGTGGCAATCGAACCCACCACCTCTGGCTTAGTAGTCAGGTTCACTAACCATTACACCAATAGGCACGTCAACCTAGAGAAAATAATACAATCCTTGGCACGTTTCATTTCCAGCTACTGATACGCCCTAGAAACTCAGTTTAGGGATAAGGCTAAACTGAGTTTCTAGGGCGTATAGGCGATAGGGGGACCCTATTACTAAGACTTCGCTGTCCGTCCGTCCGTTTTATCCTTTAGGTACAAAACCCTAAAAATGATCTTTTTACAAATGATCAAGATCATGATCAAGCAGACTAAATGGCGCAGGTCAGCTAGTAAATAATTTAGTTTATTGAAGGCGGTGATACCAATTTAGAAGATAAAATTATGTCTTGGTATCGAGGAGGTTGGCTAAATGTTGTTTCGTCATTCTAATATGATGCAAAGGATTCTAAGCTACTGCCACCAGTTTAGGGATAAAGCGATGTTATAGAATATTTTCAGGCTCCCTCTAATCCAGGGATTATCCTTTTATATACTGAAATTGCTAACAGGCATTGTTTGTTTATTAAGTCACTTTTAAATAAGTATTAATTTCGTTCATCGGTTTGACAAACTGTTTTAATATTATTTTTTACATTGCAATTGGCAATTAACAATCTAATCTGCCTCGGTGGTGCAGTGGTAGCGTATGCGACTGCTGTGCTGAGGTCTCGGATTCGATTACCGGGTCGGATCAAATGTTTGTACGGTCTGAAAATATTTATTTCGGAGTTTGGGTGTTTTATATGTATAATATTTACAAAAAAAAGTATGTAAGTATTTTTCATAGTACAAGCTCTTGCTTAGTTTGAAACTAGATGGCGTTGTGTGTTAGATGTCCGAAATATTATTATTATAATTAAGATTAAGCTCAGAGAGAAAAAACTCGAGAAAAAACTCAAGTTGTGCACCGAATGTGCTCAAATTTTGACACGATATACAACCCGCTTCCAAGATATCAGCCATTTTATTCCTTATTTCTTATAAATGCAACAACGATATGCTACACCGAAGCGTTGCAGGGTACAGCCAGTTTTAAATAGATATTACTTTGTTTGATCTAACTAATTATGGGATATATAGCGTTTATGCTTTTGATGAAAAAACTCGATCTTATTTTCAATATATAAATATGTATACGGGAGTAACGCGATGGCATAGTAGGCATGAAATACCTTTGAATTGTCTGATGATTCAAACAGGTTCCGCTGGCCGTGTGCACCAGCTGAGTCTGAGTCATCTTGAGGTCAGAGTCAGTGCAAATTGTTGTTTGCTTTAAATCCCGTGTTTATATACTACTTAAAAGTTAAAATAAACGATATGTAAACACAGCATGCTACTTGCCTGAAAATCATTGAATTATTGTTGCAACTGTTCTAAATATATCTTTTTTTCTTTGTTTGAAAAAGGTTTAGAAAAGGGGGAATGGTTTACCAAAGTCAATACTGGTTAGATTTTAATTCAGTTAAGATCAAGTGGTACCCTATATTAATTAGATATTCAGATATTCTAAAAGTCTCTTTAATTATTCATAGACTCCAAAAACTTGTTTGACTTAAGATACTAGTAGCGCCATCTCTGTATGGTGAGGACAAATGAATCTTGTAATCTTGCAAACAAGGACAAAGGTAGGATTCTCCAACTAGGCGAGGTGATCGTATCTGTGATTAACGCGCCTAAACAGCACCCGACCGGTAATATTAGGGTTAGACATTGCCTCGTGGCGGCCATCGGGGTGGGATTTCTCTCGCTCAGTAACGTCCGGTAGAGTGTGTCGAAATCTGCCGTCTCCTTCTGTGAGCAAGTTTTGCCCAGGCACGGGCCAGGTACCACAGGCGGCTCAGGCACCGGAGGTCGCAGGACGACCTCCGTCCTCCATAAGCGCAGGCCTGGGGGTGACAGGTGAGGCCATCTGTCAACCTAGCAGAAGCAGGCCGGGGTGCAAGCACCAAGGGAACAATTGGGTTTCCACACAGGAGGGGGTCATCTACCCGCCGTAGATGGTCAGAGGTACGTCAAAAAAAAAACATAAAAAAGACACGGTTTTTTTTCCGGTTTGTTTTGGTAGAAAAGGGTACACCTGTTTCCCCTGCTACTGGTACCCGAGACAGCGTGCGGTTTTTAGTCGGTTCGTGTCATATTGCACAAGTGAAATTGGGTAAGAGAACTTTCATAGCGCAATTCAGGATTCGTTGGATGAATACAAAGCTTTTTTTTGTTGAACGAAGATGTCGCCACATACTTATCGCATTGAAAAAACGGCTTCATACTTCAGAACTTTTCATCTGACGCGAATTGTTCAGTACCTACACTGACTAATATAATATCGTCTGCATTAAGAAATGGTCCATGACCCATTAACAGAACAAATCTTTTGTTACAAGGAATGAGAACTTCTTTCGACGACCACTAATCCGAACTTTTACTTCTAAAAAGACAATATACGGTCGCAATTTAATTTTATGACTATAATAAGGCAATCTCGTGCGCGACCGTTCCGCGGGGTGACAGACAGTGGCGGGGGCGAGGTAGCGCCTCATTCTAGCACACGGCTACACACGAAGAGAAGCGTTTCCCTTCCCCGCTACACCACCCGCTACCCGCTGACATCTTAAGTACCTCGTCCCCGCCACCGTCTGTCACCCCGCAGGACGGTCGCGCACGACGTTGATGGACTATAGTAATTGTAATCAGTACTATATTCAGATTTGGCATTTATGGAAATACAAGGTTCTAATAGGAGTTTTTATATTAGAATTGATGTACATTCCAACATTAGTACTTAATTTCTGATGGTGACGTATCAAAATGAGTCACACAATATTCTCAAGGTATCAGGAAAGGTTACATTAGTTGCAAATCCAAATATTCAACGCCATCTAGTGTGAGTATTCTAAACCATCTTGCATTTATTTCGAATTTCAGCCAGATAAGTAGAAAAAGGTAATGGATTGTAAAATTTATAACGTGTTTTAATATTATATTTTACTGGCGTCTTTTTCCCCTAAGGGGTAGACAGAGGGGTATTAAAATGCCCACAATTTGATCACATCCATTCCTACTTCATCGCAGCTTAGCTAAACAGAGACAGAGTGAACTATCGAGCATCAATCTCTCTCGATGCCTGTATCGCTTCCACTTACAGGCAGCTGTACCCCGTGTTCTCCCTATGCTTATATCTCTATGGTCACAGATGACAAGACACTTTATTAAGGTCGAATTTCGACCTTAATAAATGTCTTGTTTTATTTCAGTGACCAGAAAGTTTAATGTCATTGTGTAATTGACGTTGTATTATGGTAGGTCGGAATATATACTAAAGATCCCTATAACTTTATGTAGCATTGTAACCCCTAGTTAAATAATTTTCAAGTTTTTAGAAACTTACATTGAATATGTGTTATCTTTCTGCACTTCTTCCACATATAAACATTAAGAATTGCAAATGTTGTTGTTGTTTCCGTGCGCCACATTTGATCAAAGAGGGTAGAAAGAATTAAAAACAGAAGCGGGTAGAATGAAATAAAACGCCACAAAAACTACATGAATAAAATTTGTATTTCACTTCAATACATTAATAGTGACCGGTTCAATACAATATTGTGTTCGGTTTAATAAAATATAAACTATCAGCTATATTATTGTAATAACTCTCGAAAATACATTGGCTTAACATTGGGTAAACTTAATTATCTGTAACATTCAATATTTGCCGATCAGAATGCACTAATTACATTTATACCTATACATTTATATAATCTATGTTACGTGATTTCTTACAGCAACTCCGTCGTCCTGTAAAATATTTCTGCATTAGAAATATTGTTAAATGCGTCAGAAAAAAGAATTAGTAATCATACTAAAATTCCTTAGTTCATGCTGTTGTCATTTGGTACCGCGAACATTTCCATAAGGGCTCTTAACAATTTATTGAATCAAAACGTCAACAGTGACACAATGTTAGGTGTTGTCAGTTTTAAAAAATGTTTGAAGTATTCTTGGTATGGCAACTCAAGGTATAGCTTTTAAACAGGCCACATATAACGTAGGTAAAATTTAATTTAAAGTATTTACGATAATGGTAATGATATTTTTAAAAGCATTACGTTTTGCTTTTGTTTAAATTTAAAATATTTCTCTCAATAACGTATTGTACGTTTATATTTATATCTTAAATATTAAAAAAGTACAATGGTTTATGAAATATCATTTATTATGAAATAACTTTGAAACAATATGCTTTAAAAACCTAAAAAATACTGTTGCCAGTGGGGCATAGTGCAATATAAACAGAAATTAGTTTGCGGACAATATTTTATTACCACAATGCAAGATTTACAAATAAAAGTAGTTTATATTTAATTTAAATTTATATTTAATTTTGCATATTTCACTTTGATCATGCAAAAATTATAAAACCTTAACATACCACTAGGTAAATCAGTGACATACTATAGGCTTAATGAAAATCGACAACAAAGAGCCCTTGTAATAAATACTCCTGTAAATGAAATAATTCTTCTGTTCATAAAAATAATGGCTTTTATAATTTTAGTAGTTTTATTTTTGCGGCACCATATTCAAGCTTATTTTCTATATAATATGACTCCATTTACGATTGTCCTTCGTTCTAACACAGCTAGTTTATTAACACCAATAAACATATAATTTATATACTGAAATATTCATACTGTTCCCTAAGTACCAACTACTTATCTGTTAAAGTATCGTACCTTGTACCTAGCACCAGAAATTATTTGGTCATGCCCTGTTTTGCGCGTCGCTCCCATTCAGCTCGCATCTGAAGAATACCCTTAAACTGTGGAGAGGCATCGGCCTCTGAACTATCTCCTTTCTCTTTCAAACTTTCTTCTTTTTCCATATTTCCATCTATCACAGCACTTTCTCTTTTTTCTTTTTCAACTGTCAATCTGAACTTTTCATCCTTCTGCCACAGCCTTTTGGACAGAGTGTCGGCTTTGTAAGCCATTGCTTCGCTTTTAGCGATGTTCTTAATGTCTTCTCTGTCGTTTGAGGGGTCTGGGAAAGTTCTGTTTCTCAATCTCTTTTCCGGAGTTGAATCTGACACTTCCTTTTTATATTTGTTTACTTCACTATTCCTATATACTGGTGCACTCTCTCTCTTGGGATTTGCCACACTGTTGATGCTTGCACTTCTTTGATAATGCGGTACTCCAAACTGGCTAACTCTCGCAGCTATGTCCACCAATCTCTTGTCTTCTTCTTTGACAATATCTTCGTTTTCTTTATCACTATCTCTAGATTTAATAGAAGCATTGAATTCATTCTTTAATATTTTGCTCGTTCTTGTTGGAGCGTCACTATCTTCTCTCGAAGCTGCTATGTCCTGAGCAATACTGTCAGCTTCAGAATCTTTGAGTTTTAGTGATCTACGAGCGAAAACTTTCATTAACTCTGGTTCATCATCATTCTTCCTATCTCCCCGTAATTCTTTAGACAAAATGCCAGGTTTCTTACGATAGATAACAGTTTCCTCATTTCTGTCAGGAGTTTTAACATCATTGCTGTCTGTGCTCTGAATTGAGCTTTTGCTTCCGAAACTTGAATGCGACTTTCTATCAATGGATATACTGTCAAAAATTCTCTCAGTACTCCCTTCAGTACTCATAGAGTTAGTTCTAGGTTTCTCAGGCCTATCTTGTAATTCGACGCTAGCAGCTTTTCTCTTGAAGAATGCTTTAGGTGTGGAAGGACTTTGGGGAACGACTGGGATAGCAGATTTGCGGCCGCTTAATGGGGAATCTTTTTCACTTTGACTGTTGTCACCTACATTCTCATCAAGTTTATTGGTCTTAATAGAATCATTTCTAACAGGTCTGGTTTCAGTTACCTGAAAACATTCAATATCCTGTTCTTTCTCAGCTTGTGGACTGTCGAGTTTCTTTGGCGTTACGTTAGCTGTTAAAACAATGTTCGTGGCTGGTTTCGCATCTACCTTGTTTAATTGAATATGAAGAAATTCGGGAACACCATTTTTCGATCCTGTTTTATGAACTTTATCATCAGTTTTGTTCTTTGGGACATCAACCATCTTGACGGCTATTTGCTCTTTGTTTACATGAGTCACTGATATTAAACTGTCAGTCTCTGATTTCAATTCTTTCTGCACAGTACTCTTTGAGCTCAAAGCACTTTCAACAGAAGTTGTCTTCCTTCGATCATCGATGGGTTTCTCTGGGCTACTCTTTATGCTATCTAAAGAACTAGATTTGAGTATTGGAGCTATAATAGGCTTAGGCGAACTAATAATATCATCGATTTTAGCTTCTATCTGAGAAATATCGCTGTCACGTTTGTTGTCCATCGTGATATGAATACTGTTGGTGAATATCTTCCTATCATCAGTGTTGTCAGCTTTGAGGCTGTCCATATAACTGCTATCCGTACTCGGCAAGCTATCATAGCCGTTATTATCAGCAGAACCGTGCATTATATTGTAGTTTCTGGCAGAAATCCGTTTGGAGAAGTCGTTTCGTTCGCTTAAGTTTCTCCTGTAGTTCACTTCCCAGCTTTCGAGCAGCGGCTCAGATATGCCAACGATGGCTGGCAGACTAGGCATCTGATTCTCTTGGGAGCTCGTGGATGTCGTTTCTGAAGCATAACGGAAGCTGTGTGACTTGCCAATACTATTGCGAGTTTCAACGTACTCGTCTCCCAAAGACCTTATGCCCGATGTGATGTAAGACTCCTCAGTTTTAGTGTGGCGTACAGATTCGCATTTGCTTTTAATTATCGTTTCAGAGAAATCGGAAACATGCTCAGACGATCTGTGCTTTATGTTGTCAGAACTTTGATGTCTAACCGCTTTTGGAGGGGACGAGGATGACATCATGCTTGCATTAAAATAGGGTATATTTTTTGGCATACTGCCACTTGTAAATAGATTGAAATCATTGTGAGCTTTCTTAATACGCATCGCTCTGATCGGAGGCTCCTCATCAGACATCACAGGCGACTCTTCCTGCGTTCGGCTTAGCAGCTCATTACTAATAAATGCTTTTGAAGAGAATGGTTCAACCAATCGCTGAACTGACATGGGTCTTTTATTTTTATCTAGGTGCAAGTTGAACGATTCTTTTTTATCATCTGCAGTTTCCTTAGAAGACGTCCTTTTGGTTCGCTCAATCGTTTCAGAGTATTCATCTCGTCTGCTAAAACGACTCTTCATTTCTATGTTCAACATTTTATCAGTTTCTTCAGCAATTTTGAGATCGGTTATGTTATATTCGAGGCCAGGTACTTTAGCAGCGCTATACACATCTTTGTACGCACTGTCTTGTACATAAGCACCTTTATTGTCCAACCTTTTGTGCATTTGGTTGGCAAATACTTTTTGTCCAGCAGTTTTGTGTGTTCTCTCAGCAGGTACAGGCTTGTACCCTTGTCCCTCATGAAAACCTCTTTCTGTATCAACAGGCTTGTATACCGCTGTGGACTTGTCTGTTTTAGACTTCTTAAGGTCCTGTTGACCTTCTCCGTCTGTTTGATCTTTTTTAGATTTCTTTCCGCTCTTTCTGAGTAGTAGTCTACTGAAAAACGACTCCTCTTTCTTAGACGACCGTATCGCTTCGTTTTCCGTCTTTTTATCTGACTTAGATTTCTTTTCAAGGCAAGATTCATCGGCTTTCTTCTCCATGCGATACTTTGTCATCCTCTCTTCTGAACGATAAGTGTGGATTTTCTCCTCGCGTCTCGATGGCGTTTCTCTGAGGGCCTGCCCTTGTGAGCTAGACTGGCTTCTTTTGATTGAAGATCGAGGAGTATTGGACTCTGCTATGGTGAGTTTAGCAGGCGACTGGCCCACAAGGTGGCCTAAAGCTAATCCAGGAGGTAAAGAGGACGATTTTAGTTTGATATCACTAGGAGTTTCTATGACCCTTTGGAGTTCCTTGTTTAAATGCTGTTGTTGTTCTTTGACGATTACATGATGCTTCGTGGTGGTCGATGAAGAGAATGATTCTGAAAAGATAAATTTCATTGTAAACATTAAATTTGAATCGCTTGTGTACTTTAAACTTAACTATTAACTTGAAAATGTATGATTTTTTTTTCAGAAAAGTGCATCTACATTTCGAAAACATGATCTAACGGAACAGAAATCTTTTATTTGAACTGAATTAGAGACTTCTTTCTAATCATCCTCACACGATATCGATTTTTTACTACTAGCGACTGCCTCCAGCATCCAAGTACTAGGCGATATCGAAGTTCTATAGATGTTAACGAACTTTCCAGAACTCCAACTGTTTGTAACGATTGCCACAAATGTTCGTAGTCGAAGTACTAATTTATAATTTGAGTACACCTCGGTATCGCTGCATTGACATAAATTTGATTACGTACCAGTAACCACTTCTGAGGCTTTATGGCTGACGTCAGGAGTAGTGCTTCGTGTCATTTCTTCGTTCAGTTCGGGCGTTATGGGCAAGGCTGATGCGGCAATCTGGAAATTTAGGCACAAAATTAAATAGCTGCGAGTATACTATGAGATGATGGGTTATCATTTTAAATTAATGCACCGACTATACCAGTAAGCTAGATTCTAATTTACAGTAAGCAAAATGTACAATATATGACTGAGTTAATAATACACTTGAGAGCAATTGATCCGGGTCGAATTGTGAATGATTTTCAAAAGATGAACAATAACTGTATGGTGCAACGACATCGACTCGACTCGATCGGCATACTTGGGACGAGCACTTCAAGAACTCTAAATTAAAGACTGTCTGCGTCTGCTCGTTTGCCCCCTTTTACCATAAAGAAAAAAAAGTACCTTAAATTGAGAACATTGTGAAGTCGTTAAAAAAATTCTGTGAGTCTATTTTGATTTCTTTATGAATTTTTCAGGAATATATTACACATAACTGTTACTCTCATTTAAGGAGTATTTAATTATCTATTAAACACAATATATTTCACTAAGCTAACAGTGTACAAAACTTTCAGATATCTTCATGTGACTCGGCTTCTTAACCCTTGAGTGTAGATACCCAATCAAGTAAATTTACAAAATCAAGATGGTTCTTAGTGATGAAATACGTTTGAAATGACTAAAAAGTTATAGTTAGTTAAAATTATTTTTGTTAAATGTACAAGATGAGTTAAAACACCTAAAGCTTTCCTTCGTCTATACAGCACAGCGTAAGATCAAAGTATATGCAATACAGACTGAAATTCATTTTAGTGATGAACATTACAAAAGCATTCGATGCAAACAACAAACAGTGGGGACACTATACAGTCAGTGTGTGCGTCTCTACTGTACAATCTCTACGAAGTACAATACATGGATACATAGGTCAGCATTCAGCATAGGACATATTATTTATTAAATGTATAAACGTAATAACCTTACACACCTCACACACGGCAGTCTTGTCCCAAACTAGGCAGAGCCTGTGTTATGGTAAATAGACTGCTGATAAACATACTTCTAAACGAATCAACAATCAGAATCAACAATCAAATTTGGCTGGACAGCTAGGATTGTTAACCCTTTGATCAAGCTATATCATGCTCATCAATATCAAGGCACTTATGTGTACTGTTATATTTAATAAATGCTCATCTGTTCGATTGACTAACCTGGAGTTCGAAATAATATTAGTTATAACTGAGATTTTGACTATATCAGTGCGTGTGCGCAGCTACCGCTATACTCTACACTGTTTTTTTTATTAATTAATCATAGTTAGTGACATCACAGGGCTGGAGGCGTGAGCTAGACAAGCTTTAGAAGTGATCGTGCAGTACCTACTTCAATGGTGTATACTAACTGGGTTGTTTTTCTTTCGGCGGGGAGCGCCGTGCGTGCGCCGGGGTCGCACCGCCATCTTGTGTTTGGCGGCGGAGTGCGACAGTGGCGCCACGCCCGACGGAGGCTCCGATGTGGCTGGAAAATAATAGTGATGAGATTAGATGAGATTAAATGACATGTGTCTGCTGATTGACATTTGCTGCTTGCTGATGGGTTCCACGTGAAGACTAAAACTAACGTTAGTATTACAGTGAGACCAGACAGACCAACTAGAGCTCAGTTGAAGTCTCTGATCTTTAGATAAAGTCCAGAAGTTTTTTTTAACTGAGTTTTCTGATCTAGAGACCTAATGGTGTTCTAACTTTCAGGGTTAATTACTTAATTGAAAATCACGCAATGTTCCATACATATTGTACAATTTTTTCATTTTATTTTTATATCTTCGGAATACCAACAGCATAAAATACACTTTCTAGAAACTAAACCTAATAACATCATTGCTATTGACAGGCATTGGCAAATAGGTTCCAAATGTTAGGTTAACACAAATCAGGTAGAAAGTAAAAACACAAAAACACCAAAACAATAAAAAATATAAACATACTAGACCAAAAAGCTAATAGATTGTCACATGAGGATCAGAGCCGAAAATATCTAAGGTTTATATTTATTTTACTTGTGTGGGCTTCGATCCAAATATCTCAAACTCGTCATGCCTTATACAATTATCAATCCATACTAATATTATAAATGCAAAAGTGTATCTGTCTGTCACCTCTTCACGCATAAACCGCTGATTCGATTTGGATAAAATTTGGTATAGAGATAGTTTGAGTCCCAGAAATCATCCTTTAAGGGGTTAAAAGGGAGGGGGGTAGAAGTTTATGCGGGGAATCATTAACCGCTAAAACCGATTTAGACGAAAATTGGTATGGAAATAGTTTGATTCTTGAGGAAGAACAAGAACACGGGCAGAGCTGCAGGCAAAAGTTAGTCAACTCAGTCCTTCAATAATAGAACTTGTTTTTTTTTATAACTACTTAAAAAGAAAGTATATACTTTTCTGTACCTCTGACGATGTATATATACTGAATTTCGTTTCATCAATTGATTGTTTTTTTTTTAAAGACAACTCCCGCATTAGGAATATACCCTGTGTCGCGGGGGACTTTACAAACATACATGAAACGGACACAAAGAACACCCAGACCCCGAACAACAATTGGTGGATCACACATATTGTCGTCCCATGTGGGGTTTGAACCCACAACACTCGACGTAGTAGGAAGCGGCGTGGCGACCGCTTAAACCACTACGCCATCCGTGCAGTCAGTTACATCAATTGATTGATTAAAGCGTATAAGCGTAAAAAGTGTTTTATGTTATTACTAGTTACGATATTATAGTATTTAGTAGGTTAGCAATCTAGGCCGCGTCATAAAAATGGCGGACCATCAACGATATCGTCATAAAAAAATGTAGAATAACACATCTATTTAATATAGATTTGGTCTTTATGACAAAAACATATTTATAAAAAGATAATTATGTTTACTACGACAAAAGAAATAGTCACATATGATTTAATCGTGGATAAATGGGTTTTATGTCGCTCCTCAACGAGGGGCGGATCCTTCGAGTAGGCGATGTGATATTGAATGGGAATTGGGTACTCATATACATACTAATCACGAGAACTTTCCTTGCGCGATGCAGGATTAGTAGTGTATCCGTAGTTCAATGTGTCTTCGTTACATGGCGTCTTCGCTTCTTGATATAACGCTTGATGAATGCATGTCGTTGCAAGCATTATTGTAAGCATACTGAGTATTTACTGCCGTTACAGTTTAAAAAAAAACTTATGATGATGTTTATTAGTGACCACGGTCAGTGCAACCTGGTCGACTCGTAAGGCAATGCAAAAATGTACTGTGTGGTACTTAATACCTATCGACCTATGGTGACCGTGTTGGTTCCGTAAACATAATCATATATTGCAGAAAGCGATAGTTTAAAAGTTATAAAAAACTTATCTAATCAATTAGTTTTTTTAAAGGCAACTCCCTCACTAGAACTATACCCTGTGTTACGGGGGACTTTACAAACACATGAAACGGACACAAAGAACACCCAGACTCAGAATAACAATTAGTGGATCACAAAAAGTGTTGTCCCATGCGGGGATCGACCCCACAACACTCGTCGCAGCATGCAATTTCCCCGTTGATAATATCGGCCCAGATCAACCAGTCTACTGCAAAAATGGCATCATGATATGGTACTCACAGTATAGATCGAATTGATCGCTCCTGGAATGCTCGTGCGAGTGGTGATGTCCACTGGAGCTGTCTTCGTCCATCTCTGAGGAGCCGACGCTGAGCAACGAGCCGTCGCTACACGACGACTGTGATATGCCAGCATGGTGCCGCTGAAGACAAAAAGAAAAGAGACAGTTAGATAAGAGTTGAATTATCGCTGTGCTTGTAACACAGGTTTAGCTATTGGAACCTTCTTATTTTGAATAGATATTGGTTTTTTTAAACTTGTAGGTTAGAGCATTGCAAAGTTAAGCAATCCTAGTCAGGTCAGTCTATGGATGGGTGCCCATTCTTAACACATTAAGAACCTCCGTACCTCGGAGGCAATCGTTACGGGTAGTAATGATTTACGCGGTTGGAGTCCTAAAAAAGTCCAACAGCAGTCTATCTACAGAACATCGATATCGCCTAGTGCTTGGGTTGTGAAGGTCTGATGGCAGTCGCTCCGCGTAAAAAATTGAAGTTCAGCCGTGTTCAATAGTAAACTAAAAGCCGATCCGAACCTAGTTTAAGTACAATTTTTCAACATGAAACATTAAATAACGTTATCGCTGTAGATGATCACATTACAAATAAATCTCACGCCGGATACATGCACTAACGTGCTTTGTTAAACCCGACTGGTGTACCGGAACGTTACTCGTAATAATGGTTTTAGTTTTATAACACATTCATTTGAAATGCCCTAATGTTGTGTTACAGAATTTTGCGTGTTGTTTTATTGATGCGAGACTTTTAAACTGAACTTCTACACGATCAGGCTCGCTTGTACATCTCCGAAAGAATAGACAAAGGTTTGTTGATAACACGAACATCACAATTAACATTAAGATTAAGAATATGGACTGTCAGCACCCCCCTATTCATCCAAGGGGCAAACAACGCAGGATAACAGCACTGCAAAGAGAAGGAAAACTTGAAACAAATCGAGGTTTAGTAGGCCAAAATATCCTTTCTAAGCAGAGACCTATGTCCATGCTGCCTATAGCTGCTCTTGGACACCTACAACTAGAGTACAAACTCAAACTATCTTTATTTCATAAAATAAATAAATTTATTTGACTCTTAAAGTCATAGATCAACATGCACAACAGCAACAATCTCTACGTATTAAAAATCTATTATATGCCTGTGCCGATCTACAACCGCATATTTCTAAGGGGTTGAGCCTCATGAGAAGAAAAGCCAAACAAACTCACGGCCACTCTTTTTTAATTAACAGATACTTACAATGGCATAATTAAATATACACAACATTGTTTTGATGTGTGCCAGTATGTAAGTTTTAAGGACTAAAAGGTAAAAAGGCAATGAAGAGAATATAAGAAATAGATAAAGATGGAATAAAAAAGAAAATGAAGTAAAACATTAAAAAATGGAAAATTAAAGAAAAGACACACTAGCCCATATCACATTTCTACTACGAAATAGACTGTGCTAAATTAATCCCAAGCATTCTTGTCTTCTATGTAATCCACAATTGAGTAATAGGCTTTCTGACATAGTTTACATTTTATTGTGGATTTAAATTTGTTTATCTAAATCTTGTATACTATTTGGGATTTTATTATAGATTGTACAAGCACCTATAAAGGTAGCAGTACTTTTTTTCTTATAGGTTTGAAGGTCGTAACGGTAACGGAGAAATTACGGAACAGATTAGTTGCGTCAGGTAATTTTTTTGCCTTAAGAAGTGCTCGTGAAAAACCGATTTTTTTATATGAAAAAGAACCAGTCTAATTGTTTAACTCTGTAATTTAAAAAAATATTGTATACCTTGATGTTGGCACTAATATGTCTTCTCCTCGGAGGCCTCTTCACCGGCACCTCCTCAGCCTTAGTCATGTACAGCATCATATTTAATTATATATCGCCTCTCATTAATTACTTATCACTGATTAATCAGTCATCACTACTTCACACTAAATTACACATACTGATTGATATATTTTTATGTTGAGTTACACTGAAATGACATTGTATTGACAATTAGTCATTGTTCTATTGTGAGTTTGAGGCTCTTGTTTGTATATTATGAATAATGTGTATTTTCATATAGTATTCGAAATTGATACACGTGAACCTGACCACCTGGTTTTTATTTGGAATTCTCTTAGTCACAGTAAAGACGCTAAATAAGAAGTTCATAGTAAAACAGTAAGGAGGACAAAAAAGTATGAAACTGGATTAATATTGTAACGCAAAAGCACTGGTAAAAGTTAAACATATATGGATGAAATTTGGCATAAACATAGGTCTGGAATAGCCCATAGGTTACTTTTTTAGGGCTCCGTACCTCAAAAGGTAAAAAAGGAACCCTTATAAGATCACTTTCTTGTCCGTGTGTCACCACCGATTTTCTCAGGAACGGGTAGACCTAGCAAGTTGAAATTTATACGAGATACTGAGGCCTATGGTCCCTATCAAGTGTTTGTAAATCAAGTTCCTGTGTCAACACGATAATAAGATATGGGCAAATTTAGATTTTCGCGAATCCTTGTAAGTACCAAAATTTACCTTAATTTTCAACTTTTTTTATGATTTCAGAATTTTCTTAACCAGAATTGACAATTCTAGGTCATTTCAACGGACAGTGCCAAATACCCTATAGGTTAAAAATTAGTACCCTATAGGTTTTGGGTCGAAAACCTATATCGTAGTTCCCGTTGACCTAGAATCACGAAATTTGGCAAAAATAAACGTCTTACAGCACAAACAAAGGAATAATTCCAGATAAACTTGGTAAATTTTCGCGAAAATCTACGTAAAATCTGGGTAGGTACGGAACCCTCGACCTGACCGGTTTTTTATCAAGGAGGAAATGATTGACAAAATTCACAATAATGTGATCGTTGCCGCGTGTAAAGGTTAATTTAATAATAAATTGCACTTAAGCAAAAATATACATTTTATTCGAGGACGGGTTTTATTAACGCAAAAAGAGGATCCTCCGACCAGGCGAGGCTCTCGTGGCCCGCGGCCCCGTCGACGGCTGGTATAGCCGCTGACGACCTCTACGCTCGGGTTCGACCCTCTCCCGAGCCCGTTCAGCGGTCTCTTTCTGGAGCATTACAGTTTACGACCGCTGCGCCCCAGCCCTCCTTACCCTATGGCAGCGATGACTGCTGGCGGAGACAGGTCTCGTCCGATTTGTTCAACCAGGGTCATCTAACAATCTTAGTCAAGGTTGAGACTGTTTGAAACTCAGTTTCCTTGAATGTGGGCTGGGGTGGACGGGACGGGTTTTCCCCTTAACCCACCACAGAGGCCAACCGCGAGGAAGTAACAACCGCATTTGCCTGAACGTCTCCTAAATGAGAGTTTCTACCCAAAAGTGGTGCCTGTGTTTTTGCGGACAAAAGCTAGGAAGGGTCCGGATGTATTAATAAAATATGTTTCCGGATCCCTCCATGTTTAGGAGAATGGAGGCACAGCATGGTGTTTTAGACGGATCGATTCCGAGTGGCCGCAAACCCCGGTAGAGTCATGGCCCGAAAGGTTTATCTCACAAATAAAAGTGGTTTAAACTAAGTTTAAAACTTGATAACTTTAAAAGTGGTTCTTAAATTTGTAATTAGAAAGATAACATTGAAGCTACTTGACTTAGGGACATCACTATTTTAGAGGACAGTGAAACAAATATTTTCTAGAAGCAGCACTCAGTTTTTGTTTTTCATTTGACAGTTCGATAAGTAGTCTATACACTCATTATCATCATTATTGGTTTGGTCATTACTTATAAGTAATGACCAAACACGTCGCCGATCGGATTAAAAACTCCTTGAAGTTGTTGGCAGAGCCATATTTACCGCCCACGCCCAAGTATTGAATCATCATCATTAACAGTCTTTAATAGTCCACTGCTGAACATAGGCCTCTCCTTAGAGGGGAGGCCTACTATACCACGATGGCCAGACGGGTTGGTATAGGGTTTGTTTCAAGTTTTCCTTCTCTTTGCAGTGCTGTTGTCCAGCGTAGTTTGCTCTTACGATGCCCACGAGATGAATAGGGGTGGTGACACTCTGTATTTTAAATCCGTCACCACACGGACAATATGTAAGAAAATAGATTTCTTAATATGAGAAGGAAAACTGTTTACACGGATGAATTCTGAAATGTAAGTAGGGAATAGCTCTCTAGTTTTGCCATTTCAAGCCCTTTTATTTTTTAGCATATTATTTTTCAGATTAACACTAGAATAAAATATTTTAATGCTTATAATTTATGTTAAAGGCTGTGAGAGATTTACATGTAACGGAAACTGGGCAGGAAATGTTTAATGAGGGGATATGTTAAGTGATATATGTAATAAAATAGCACGAAATATATTGCCAATATATGTTAGTGTCCTATTTTAAATAATTATAACCTTAATTAGGACGTAAAGTGCGTTGTTCCGTCAAAGAACATAAATGACTATTATTTAATTATGTGTATTTCTTTAAGACAACTCCCGCACTAGGAATATATCCAGTGTCGCGTTGAACTTTACAAACATTTATGAAACAGGCACAAAGAACAACCAGACTTAGAACTATAATTTGTGGATCACACTAAGTGTTGTGACCCCACACAAGTGGGAATCGAACCCAGTAGAAAGCGGCGAGGTGTGTGCTTTAACCACTACTCCATCCGTGCGGTCAAAATATGCCTGTAAACGAGCGATCTCACTCTTTTGAAGCCTTCTTTCGAAAGCCAAACATGGCTCAATGCCAAATAGCCAAATCTACTCGTAGTTGGGAAGTGTGGCATTTTAACACGCCGCCTCGCCGCCTCGAGGATACAGGTATGAGTTTAGGTATTTATGTAAAGTTTTAAAAGAGCTCGTAGTTCTAGTTATTCTTTTCAAGAGAGCATACGCGGTTTAGTATTCCATTCCATCTTATGTGACATTTCACTAGGAAACAGAGCTTTCTACTTTCAATCCGTTGAAATGGGATATTTATAAAACTTACGGACAATTTTTTTTTTTTTTTTATTCATCCCGTGGGTGTCGTAAGAGCCGACTAAGGGAAAAAACTACGCATAACAACAGCACTGCAGAGAGAAGGAAAACTTGACACAAACCCTATACCAACCCGTCTGGCCAGCGTGGTATAGTAAGCCAAAA